TCTTGGCTGGTGGCCACCTGGCCCCAGACCTGCCCACTCAACTTACCGTGGTCCCCGAGCATGCATGTATGCCCGACTCTCGATCTGAGGCTGGGTACCGCATGGGCCCCTGTTGCAGAGCATCTTATCTCAGAAATGTTGCAAACTCACACAAACAGCTTCTTTCTCATGGCTGTGCAGGTCCCGTAGTTGCATGTGGGGGAGAGGCAGCTGTTGACAGCCAGGATACAGCCTCAGGGTCACTGCCGCCCACAACTGGGGGCCTGTGGTTGTGCTGGCTCTGGCAGAGGAGGGCCCAGGACAGAACCCTCCTCCTGGATCATCTGGTGGATGTGTGGGCCTGGCAGGCAGAGGATATCACCTGCAAGGATATGTGGAACTGAGTAGACCAGAAGTTTTGGGTGCAGCTTCTGGCCCTGGAGTGTGAATGGGTAGAGGCCCTGTGGGAGCAATCTGCACTTGTGGCCGCAGAGGTTGCCTGCCAGGTGCTGGACACCATCCTGGGTCTAGTGGTCTCCTTCGTGCCGTCCACTGCCCTACCACTGACTGTAGCCCCACCTGGCCCTTGGCAGCTGCTACTTGGGCTTGAGCAGAGGTCCAACACTGCCTCCACTGGACAGGAGTCCCTGCCCCAGCCCCTTCCCTGGGTCTCCCACCCCTCAGCCTGGGCCCAGGCCTGCTGCTTGTCTTGGCCACACATAGGTGCGGAGCCGGAGCTACCTTCAGTGGGGCTAGGACCACATGCCACCCTCCCCCACGCCCCAGCTGCTGGAGTCATTGCTTTCTGTGCTGGGGGACTACCGGGTGCCATTGCCCCTGGGTCAGCCTCCTGCCTGCCGGGCTCACTGTGGCATATGCACCCATGAGGGAATGGCCAGAGGTTGGAGTGCTGGCTGTCTGTTCCAGGGTTCTGCCCCCTAGGTGCCTCCATCCCATGGCTGCCTGCCCAGGGAGGGCATGCACACGACCACAGCACTTCACTTGTACATAGTTCACATGGAGAAGAGGGTGTTTTATTGGTGGTGGGTGGAGTGGGTGGTGATGGGGCTCTGTTGTTGGGGGATAGGGAGGAAGGGCTCTGTTGTTTGGAGTGGGGTGTTTCATCTGAGGGCAATAAAGTGTTTTTCTAAGAACTGTCTGCAGTGAGCCTGGTGCTGGGGTGGGTGGTGGGGTAGGAGGGTCTGTGGGTGGCTGTCCAGGCAGGCTACAGTGGGGAGTACAGGAGGAGGTGGTCGGCCAGCACCTCTCACACCTGGTGCCCTGGCCCCTGCTGGCACGTGTACAGCTTGCCTGGGGCCTCAGTAGCAGGGTGCACTGGGGCCAGCAGGAGCCCAGGGCACTGGGTGTCACTGCCAGGGGCCTGGGCTGGAGCATCCATGGCACAGGGAGGCAGAGGCTGAAGCAAGACAGCCACTGCCTGCTGGCCCCAGGCTCTGCATGCTGCTCCTGGCCAGAAGAGCAGCTGAGCAGGGAGCAGGGCTACCTTTTAATAATGACTGCCCACTGCTGGCAGCTGCGGCCAGAGCCTCAAGCTCCTCCTGGTGGCAGCAGGGGCCCATTACAGGGCCCCAGGAAGCAGGAGCAGTTTGCTGCTAGGAGCAGCAAATCTTCTCCCATATTCCTGCATGTGTAGACACTTGCCTGGGTGCATTTACTTGTAAGTAGTTTACTTGCAAGTAAACTGATCCCAGATCAAATGCATGTGCAGATGTCCCAACTGGGTGCATCTACATGAGACACTACTGCCCAGTACCAATGAGCTACTACACAATAGTTCATTGCTACTGTGCAGTAATGTCAGAAAAAAACTGTGCGGGGACGGTACTGCACAGAAACACCCTTTACTGTGCAGTCATTTAGTACTTGGTTATGCAAGTACTAGATGACTATGCAGTTACAACTGTGCAGTCCACCGCTCATGTAGACGCAGCCACTGAGTACCTTTCTGCTGGCAGGTGAAGAACCTTAGGAGGAAAATGACAAAAGAGCCTAATGTGGAAGGTTTCAAGATGTTAATATGGCAATAGTTGTTTGAAATTACACTTACTGGTGTGAAGCAAGCTCTGGGCTGCTATTCTGAGCCACACTCAGGAACCTAACACAGCTACTCAGACTGAAATCTCCCTGCTAACTGAGACTTGTGTTTCAAAACTCCAAGTAAACCAAAGTCCCTCAACTCTTCTTTTCTCTACCTTTTTGATGCAGAGTGCCAGAACCCTTTAGGACTGGCTTCTGGGAACATTGCAGACTCTCAAGTCACAGCTTCAGAACAGTATGGTAAGTGCTGGACTTCTTGATCTTGTCTAATTTAGGGAGAAAGTCAAGCTTAGGTCAGGTTTAGCCAAGACATACCAGGTTGGCCCAAACTAGGCATGATCACTCTCTAGTCAACATGAAGCTTTTTTCTACAGTGGTTTCCAGTTCTCTGCATATCACCACACCCTCTGAGAGGCAGTGATGCAGTTGCCTGGTATTGACAAGGATAGGGCAGGCTCTGTGGCCCTCTTCCTTTGCTGGAGAAGGGTATGAATGAGTTATTCCCTGTACTACCAATGTTTTCAACAATTCCCTCACACTGTCACATGAGACATCTGTGAGGGGTGGTACCTTAAGAATTGCTGCTGCTTAACTTGCCTCAGGCCACTTCATTGTAACCAATGGGCCGCCGTATGGTGACATTGCTATGGTGCCGTGCTTTAGTACTTCCTTTTGGAAGTACTAAAGCATGGTGCAGTACAGGCGATTATTGTGCTGTGCACACAGCACATGATTAGATTTTGCCACTACAGCGATATAGCTGGCGATCATGTCTAGAGACACATGATTGTTATGTCGCCGTAATGTGCTGTACAGTGACATAGCATGTCACTATGTCACCATAGGGCAACATGTAGACGCACCCAGCGAGTGAAAGTTGAGATGTAGCTTCTCTGAAGGGCTTTAAGGTAGGCAGTGTTTGTTTCAGTCAATAGCAACCTTCCTCCCCACTCCCAATCAGAACAGCAGCACTGGCAGAGTCTAAAGAGAATGTATTACCACTGTTATAAGTGAAGTGTTTCCAAAATGTTGGTTTGAAGATATAGCCCCTTACAGTCCAACCAAGTGGAGAGTACACAGGGCACTAGGAGGGCACAGTTTCATCAGGATAATGGTGCTTCTAACACTTTATGGATGCTTGAGTGGCGGTTTGAACAACTGTCCCATGCAGTGGTACCCACAAAAGGCATAGAGGCATATGTACCTGGTTTCTGAGGGATGTCTTCTGTTCTGCAGCAATATCCACAGCAGGTCAGGCAGGAAAGTCCAGCCTTCTAGTCACTGGGGGACACAGTCTGATTTCCCTGCTTATTCTATCTTTAGATGCCAGTGAGTGAATCTGTAGCTACTGCCTTTCCCATCCCACTGTTTTGTGCTTTCCTTCCACAGGTCAATGGGCACCCAGCCTGGCCAGGTTAGGTTATCAACAGTCAATCAATGCTTGGAGCACCAACAATGGAAATTCCTGGATTCAGGTGGGCACCATTGTTTTACGGAGGAGGTATTACTGATGGAATGTAAATACACATCCTTAAGTCTGCAGGTGTCTACCATTTGCCATATGGATGTGCCAGCCTAAGGGACAGTGAGCAACTGATTTTGGTCAACTAAGAGAGACCCTCTCTTTCTCTACCATGATTTCTACATTATGTCAAATTACTTAGGCCTTTGCCAGAGGACATATCACCCCCTCCTTTGACCCGACTACACACTCATGCATGTCCAAGTGAACACATGCACACACACCCCCACACACACAAACTTTTCTACTTTCCCCTCATTTCAGTTGCCCTTCCCCCTCTCCCCCATGTACTTGCCTGCCACACTGTGCTCCCACAATGACTCCAGTTTCTAAATGCCATATATATATATGGAGCAAGGATATATATATATCCTTGTTGCTAACCTCAGTGCTCCCAAAAGAGGTGTCATCCAGTACTGCTTAACACCTGCTCAACAACTGAGACACAGATCTTGCAGTAGGTATGTACTGCCTCTCCACATCCACTGCCCACTGCTGGTGCCTTCTTGTATTCTGATGAGCTCACTGGTATTGGGCTCCCTCTTGTGGAGAAAACAGGAATATTTGGCATTTCAGAGAGATTCTGAGATAAAACCGTATGGGTGCATCCCAACAAGTGCGCACGTGCAGGGGCGTGTGTTTCCCATGGTATAGTGGGCAGTGGCACATATTTGTATTGCTGTTATATGTCCCTGGGCAAGCCCCTGCACGTGCGCTCCAGCGCATGGCAAAGTGACCCAGGTAGGGTAGGAGAGGCTGGGTCAGCACCTGTGCTGGCCCCCGGAAGCCTTATCTGGGGTCCTCGGGGGCCTCCGGGGGCAGCAGCAGCACTAAGCCAGCTAACTGGAGCCTGGTTGGCAGCTGGCAGCACAGCCTGGCTCCACACCATTTTTTTAGCAGTTTTTTTTTTTCACACCAGGATCTCCCTGTGTCAAAAAACCCCACTGCACTGCAAATTAGCAGTGAGGCAAACAGGTGCATATGCACCACATGTGGTTTGCAGTGCCTCAGACTGCTTCGAGGTGCTGCATACTACACATGTACACTCGTCAGGGCATGTCCTAGGCTCCCTTTTTTTTAGAGTTCTCCAATTAACCATCGAAGGAGAGATGCTGTCTTTCCTCTCTTTTTAAAACAGATTTCCTTGTACTGATGTAACAGGTATAGTTGTGTTTACCCTTGCACTGTAACACCTGAAATGCATTCTCGTGTCTTCTTAGCTCAGGTTGTTCCAAGAACAGACAGAATCCTCCCAGCTGTAATAGCTAACTTAACTCCCTGATATGTATCATAGCTAACACTTCCCTGTAAGAGAGGTTTATACCTAAGCTTCATGTACAAGTGCTTGACTTTTGCCCTGAAAATGTACATCCCTTAGAAATTTTATCCTTTCTAACATAACATCAGGGTGTTGTTCTGATCATTAAAACACTGAATTCTATTACACTTATGAGCTCAATTATATCTTGAGGCAGTGAGTTCCACAAATTAAAGTGACACTATTAAAAATGCAGTCTTTATCAGTGTCAAATTAATTTCTTCAATTTCCTGGAATGCCCAACATTGCACTGTAAACATGCAAAGGCTGGGAATTGAAACCTACAAGAGTCACTGAATGAAAAAAATAAGATAATTATAATAAAGCAAATATCCCATTACATGTCTGTCATAATCATCTTACAATACACACTGCCTGACAAAAGGCTTATCATGTGTTGTACTGGAGGACTACAAAATGCTTCACAAATGTTAGTCCAAACCTACAGCACCCTGCAAGGCTAAATAGGATCATTACAGCCATTTAATCATTGAGGAAATGGAAGCACAGATCTTGTAATGACTTCTCTACAGCCACCCACAGCTTTTTAGAACAGGAGTCTTCAGGGTCTTTTTACCCAGAAGACCTTGCCCCTCTCAGAAGTTCCATTCTCCATAAAGCAGTAGTAGTCATTTATCCAATAAACCCTTAACAACTATGAATTATGTAATGCTGAAAGCCAATGCTGATTAGCATCATCAATGTTCGTGAGAGTTTCAGCCACGGGTACTGCAAGGTAAATGGATAAAGATATAATTTCCTACATGCTAGCAGTGCTATGGCAGATGGTTGCTTGTGGTTTAATGGGAGTCATGAAGATGAGAGAAACTGAGGTCCCCAGAGGCAGGAGACTGATTGTGTGGGATATCCCAACCCAGTCCTGTGATGGGCAACAGGAGCCTTACATTGGACTCTGGAGCAGAAGAGGCCAAGGGCCTGATCCTGTGAGTGAGGTGCTGAATTCTCAACTCCCCCTGATTTCAGTGGGAGCCAAAGGCACTCAGGAGATCACAAGAGACTTGGATGACTACACAGTCCGGTGGGTGGTGAATTGGCTAGAGGGTCGTACCCAGAGAGTCATAGTGGATGGGTCGGTATCGACCTGGAAGGGTGTGGGCAGTGGGGTCCCGCAGGGCTCGGTCCTTGGACCGATACTCTTTAATGTCTTCATCAGCGACTTGGACGAGGGAGTGAAATGTACTCTGTCCAAGTTTGTGGATGACACAAAACTGTGGGGAGAAGTGGACACGCCGGAGGGCAGGGAACAGCTGCAAGCAGACCTGGACAGGTTGGACAAGTGGGCAGAAAACAACAGAATGCAGTTCAACAAGGAGAAATGCAAAGTGCTGCACCTAGGGAGGAAAAATGTCCAGCACACCTACAGCCTAGGAAATGACCTGCTGGGGGTCATGGAAGTGGAACGGGATCTTGGAGTCCTAGTGGACTGTAAGATGAACATGAGTCAGCAGTGTGACGAAGCCATCAGAAATGCTAATGGCACTTTATCGTGCATCAGCAGATGCATGACTAACAGGTCCAAGGAGGTGATACTTCCCCTCTATTGGGCACTGGTCAGACCACAGTTGGAATACTGTGTGCAATTTTGGGCACCGCACTTCAAGAGGGATGTGGATAACCTGGAGAGGGTCCAGAGAAGGGCCACTCATATGGTTCAGGGCCTGCAGGCCCA